CCACCCCTCCCCCTGCCTGTGAGGCAGATGATTTCCACTGAATTCTCTCTCTACTTTGAATACATTCATTATTTCAACAAAAGATGCACCATTATTATTTGGAATTTTCCCCCCAACAATCAGACCTGCTGAAAAAGGCATTGTGAAATGATTTGTTTTCTATTGCTGATTATAAAGAGCATATGATGTCTCATGGCCGTGATAGCAGCCAAGCAATTTTGGATTTCTGATATTTTACTAATTATGTTTGGAGGGATTTCTGCCAAAAGCTGCATAGTTCCCAAATTGGTTTGTGTGCCTCTGGGGCCATGGCCATGCCAGAGAGCCACTCATGGGGGGCCACTCAGGGTCTCCGCAGAGTGAGAAGGACATGCCGTTTCCTGATGAGAAATTCTTAATCCTTATTTTTCATGGGAGAAAACAGCCCCAGAGAGATGTAAAACTTTCATAATTCATCAAGATAAATTAAGAAATTTTGCTGAGTTCTAAGCTGTCTGCTCTTAAGCACTATTGGCTCCTTTGGGTCATGATCTTATCTCAATACCACTCAGTCTTGTGTCCCTACTGGATACTAAACACTGCACAGAGTTCAGAAGAGTGGACTCAGATAGTAGGAGAGAAATTAGGGTCTTGTGGCTTTCTAACTGAATTAGAAAAGAGATTCAATCTCAACACTGATGAAAATGAATCATTACCTTTAAAATCCAATTATTTGTCGGACCTAAATGCTGAGAAGTCTATCTATTCTGTTTTCTAACATCCACCACAAACTCTTTTTCTTAGAGTACCGCAATAGCCCTCAACAAGTTTTCCTACTTCTTTTCTGACTGCCCTAGAGCTTTAAGAACAAGCAGAATCAGAGTGAATGTAGCCATGCCATCCTCCTGCTCAAAATCCTTTAGTAAATTTGCATCACACCCAGAATAATAACCAGAGCTCTTACTAGGTTAGCAAAGTCATAATTCAGGCTTTGGTTGTCCACCCCCACACTTTCTGTCTATATTTACTTTACTCTACTCCCAGCCACACCTCTATGGCACTCTAGCTGCAGTACTGCTGATTGTCCAATATGAGAAATGACCTTCACTGGGAGACTTTTGTATTTCTCTGCAGGAATGGGTTTTACCATCTAATTATTAAGTTTCCTCCATCACTTCTTCCAAACTTCTGCGAAAATAGCCAACCCCTAAATGAGCTCTTTCCTGACTTCCATTCATACTCTTACACCTTGTTTTGTTATATCAAAAAGTCCCCATAGTTACAAACATCTATACATGTATTTTTTTATATGTGTGTATATAGCACAGTGGGTAGGGCATCTGCCTTGCATGCGACTCACCCGGGTTTGATTCTTCCACCCCTCTCAGAGAGCCCGACAAGCTACCGAGGGTATCTCGCCCACACGGCAAAGCCTGGCAAGCTCCCCGTGACATATTTGATATACCAAAAACAGTAACAACAAGTCTCACAATTTGTTGTGAGACGTTACTGGTGCCCACTTGAGCAAATCAATGAACAATGAGAGGACAGTGCTACAGTGCTACAGTATATATATGTATTTATAAATGGTTTCGACCACCAAGACCTCAACTTATCTGCTCAATTATGTGATCTACATCTAGGCCCATAACTGAATGGATAACTACTTTTCAAGAAATGGTCAGGTGAATGGAATATTCCATGAATAAGTATAGATTAAAAGAGAGAAAGGGAATGAGTTTCCTTGCATGGAGGATGTTACTTATGGTGGTGAGAGGTGATTTTCTGTCCTTCTCAAATATAAGGATTAAAGAATGTGTTCCTATTCTGTCTTAGGGTGGGATGTTCCAAGATATTTGGGGGAGAAAAAAACCTACCAAGTACTGTTGAGGATGTCCAGAGGTCATACTTGACCAGCTGGGCTGGGCAGTTCAATGCTTGGACTGACAGTGGAAAGTTTACTTGGATCCGCCAGTACCGAGAACCAACTTTGCAGTTCTCAGAAGCCTTCAGGGTTCCAGGGGGTCATGCAGTGCTGAAGATCAAACTAGAGTTCCATGAACACAAAACATGCACCCTTGACCCCCTGTATTTCCTTCCATCACTTCTTCCAAAATTTCTATTGCCTTGATCCCCTCAAGACAATCTTTCAAACAAGTGGGAGAGACTGGAACCTTCACATCTATCTGAGTGATTGTGTTTCTAGAGACTTTGGGGCTCCTTCAACCACTGCAGAGTTTAGGAGTGAGAGTAGGGTTCTTGGAAGAGCCTACTTGAGTCCAGCTTTGCACCAGGAGACTGTACATTCCCAGTGGTCCAAGAACATGCCAATTTATATTTACCATCCCTGTGTAATTAATAAATGTCCTTCACTCTCCTAGGTGTCCTGAGTGAACTCACAGGTCTAGGAAAATTGTCTTCAAGTGGAAAATTAGAGGACAAATAGTTCTTCCCATAAATGTTGTATTTAGAACCCAGTTTAAATGAGGTTGTGAGACTGGACAGGAACACATATCTACAAATCAACAAACCTTGTATCTCATAAACAAAATTGTTTTCACCTCTAGTGAAGCTATGTGGGAGTCTCTAGAGTTGTAGATTTTCAGCCTTTTATCTGAATTAATATACCCGAGTCACTATGTGTGCATCTTATAATTTGTTCTTTATTTTGTTTTCTTGTTTCTGAATAAACCTGTTTGCTGTCAGAACGAGAGCTTCTGTTTGAGGTCAACATACTTGTAGTAAACATGAGAATGGAAAAGTTCAGAGAAGAAATCTAATCTTAGACACCATATTACTCAAACACTGAAAGAAAGAAGGTATTCAGGATGGGCTGAGGAGGTTGGGGAAATGCCCATGGGGAATTTATGCTCCCAGATGTAATTGATGTGCTTAAGTAACAGCATTACCACATCTTTCTCCAAATGTTGGGGACAAAAAAAACTATGATGGAAAAAATTTTAAACCACTGCAGGAATTCGTGATTTGGATCAGCAAGAACTTGTACTTTGCATGTGGGAAGTCTTGCTAACACACATACACACACACACACATACACACACACACACACACACCTGTGTGGATTAAAAAAATAGAAGTTACTATGTGTATAAAATAAAGTTCATTGATATTATGAAAGAAGAAGCTTTATTTCCTAGAAAAGTATGAGATAAGCCTTCAGAATAAATGTGATTAATAAACAAACTCCAGATCAGAGTTCATGGAAAAAGTCCAAGGGTGACGCTTGAAAGTCTAGTCCAGATAGAACAGTTATCTTTGCACTAGCATTATACAGTGGAATATGGAAGATGATTTCTAGTAGAGAGTACCATCCACAGTGAGGCCGAGGAAATCAGAGTGATTATTGGGTTCTTAGGAATGAGAGGCTTGGGCTGGAGTGATAATACAGTAGGTAGAGAGTTTGCCTTCTACCTGGTCAACCGGGGTTTGATCTCTGGCACCCGTATGGTATCCCAGGCCCAGTCAGAAGTGATCTGCAGAGCCAGGAGTAAGCCCTGAGCACCACCAGGTGTGACCCAGAAACAAAAACAAAAAGATATGAGAGTCTTGGAAGCTGGAGAGACAATACAATGGGAAAGGTGCTCGCCTTGTACATAGCCAACCCAGGTTCAATCCCTGCCAACTCATATGGTCCCCGAAGCTCCATCAAGAGTAATCACTGAATGCACCAGGAGTAAGCCATGACAACTGCCCTTCCAAAAACAAACAAAAAAACCTAAAGGAATGGGAGATTCAATGAGAAACTGCCTCACAAATTAATCTCTTTTTTTTAAGTATGAAGAATCAATATATGACAATGTGATGTTCCAGTTAAGTCATTCCACTCAACAGAGAAATTGAAAACAAAATCTTTATTTCACAAATTAAACTTTTCATGAACTTCAGGTTAGTTTCATAAACCTTCATTTTTCATTTAAACCAGAATATAACACCACTGAGTCCCAAGTTAAGATAAGAAGAAGATCAGCCTATTTGATGAAATTTCTATGTCTGTGTCTTCCCCTAAGGATCCAATAGGTCTTGATACAACACCCCCAAAAAATGTAACTGAAAATCCAGAGACATACTTCAAATGTAAGAGTAACTATATTCATTTGTAATTAAATCATTACTAACAAATTATTACTATCATCATCATCATTATATAATTAACATTGTAATGGTATTATATATTTTTGCATATAGCCTTAGCAAAGATCCTGTTCTATCCTGTCCTATTGTGTTCCCATGGAGTATTTTTTATGTGATCCTGGGAAAAAGAAATACCTGTATTATTGTATAGCTATACAGGGAACAGCAAGATAACCTTAGGTGGAAACTCTAACCACAGAACCCCTAAATCTATTTCAAGGTTAATATCTGACCATTCTATCCATTTAACCTAGTTTTTCATTCTAAAAATTAAACATAAATATGCCTTCTCTGCCTTCCCTTATAGAATGGTCAATATTATATGAAAAACAGGCATAAAAGAAGTCAGCTACAAATAGGATCAGAATTATCATTACTGAAAAATTGCTTAATCTCTGCCTTTACTTGGACCTTTGGCCATGGATAAACAGCAACTGTTTCGTGAATCCTTGCCTGAGAAGTCAATAGGAGAGACAGGAGTCTATCCACAAAGATAATTATGGGTTTTTGTTAGAGGATAGAATCAGTAACTCATTAACCAATAATAGTTTCAGCTTGTTGTTTCTAATGAACTCTGCTTTAGCTGCATACCTTATTTTCCTCTTCTCTGCCCATAAAAACCTATTTTGTTGCCAGGTATTGTTCCCATAATAACTTTTACCAAATCTTAGGACCTATGTTAAACTCTTACCTGAAATTGCATACTCCAAATTACAACTTTTAATCCCAAATAAGTGCTTTGTTTCCTCTCCTTTTGACCTTTGGCTTAACTATAACAACATCATTTCAGAAGCACTTTGAGAAGCAAAAGTGAGGAAAGAAAGACAAGACTCATCCCATAAATAAATACCTCCAACTCCAAACTGATCTTAACCTAATATCGTTATCCCAAAGTCTGTGGTGTAGGCTTTCCCCAGTTCTTGGGTAAGTAAGAGAGGAGCACCTACTCTGGAGTAGCCAGCAATGAACCAGCCTGGGAAGGCCACAGACTCAAAGGTGGAGGTTCTGCCATTCTGGCCACGGTAGAAGAGAAAGGGTCTCAATGGCTTGGTGTGATGGTACAGATGCATTATATTCTGTTCCTGAAGGACAAAAAAAGAGGGCCCAAGGGAGAAACATAACTGCCTCAATTATTACCCTTTATTTACTCATTAATAATTCCTGATTAAGATCACCTCCCCAAGATGCAAATCAAAACAACAATGAGATATCATCTCACACCACAGAGACTAGCATACATTCAAAAGAACAAAAGCAACCAGTGCTGGCGTGGATGTGGGGGAAAAGGGACACTCTCTCACTGTTGATGGGAATGCCCACTAGTCCATCCTTTCTGGAAAACAATATGGACAGTCCTTCAAAAACTAGAAATTGAGCTTCCATATGACGCCCCAATATCACTTCTCGGAATATATCCTGAGGATGCAAAAAAGCACAGTAGAAATGACATCTGTACCTATATGTTCATTGCAGCGCTGTTCACAATAACCAAAATCTGGAAACAACCCAAGTGCCCTAAAACAGATGACTGGTTAAAGAAACTTTGATACATTTACACAATGGAATACTATGCAGCTGTTAGGAGAGATGAAGTCATGAACTTTGCTTATAAATGAATACACATGGAGAGTATCATGCTAAGTGAAATGAGTCAGAAAGAGAGGGACAGACATAGAAGGACTGCACTCATTTGTGGAGTATAAAATAACATAACATGAGGCTGACGCGTAAGGATAGTAGATACACAGGACAGATAGATTGCTCCATAGCTGGAAGCCTGCCTCATGAGCAAAGGGGAGAAGGCAGCTTGAATAGAGAAGGGATCACTAAGAAAATGATGGCTAGAGGAATCGGTCGGGATGGGAGATGTGTGCAGAAAGTAGATAAAGGACCAAACATGATGACCTCTCGGTGTCTGTATTGCAAACCATAATGCCCAAAAGTAGAGAGAGATTATGGGGAATAATGTCTGCCATGGAGGCAGGGGAAGGTGGGAAAGGGGGGTGGGGTATACTGGGGATATTTGTGGTGAGGTATGTGCACTGGTGGAGGGATGGGTGTTTGATCATTGTGTGATTGTAACCCAAACATGAAAGCTTGTAACTATCTCACGGGGATTCAATAAAATTAAAAAAAAAATCACCTCCCCAATTCATTAAAACAAACCAAACACTTCTATTTCATGCTATAGGATTAAGCATTAAAGGTAGCAAATACTTTATGTACATTAAAATGCTTTAAAAATAATGCAGTTGAAAACATAAATATTTAAGAAAATGAACAAAAATTTCCATAGTCCCTATATTGCTTTCTGAATTTATCTTTTTCTTTTATTTTCTACTGTTACTGTGTCTGGCATATCGAATACTCTCGGTAGCTTGCCGGGAGCACCAGGAACAATGAAAAAAAAATGAAGAAACTCAATTATGTCAAAAGAGAGTGGCAAACTTCTAGGAAGATCCCAAATTATATTAGACCTCTCTAATCTTCCTGAAGAAAACTGTGAATAACAAATTCTACAGATGCTTAATAATCTAAAAACGGAGTTTGAAAAAAAAGCAATAAGCTTGAAGAAGCTCTGATGGGGGGAGAAAGAATTCATTCAAACTCACAATAAATTCAGGTCAGAGTGAAAGGTGCATACGGGCTAATAATGGCAGACTGAAAAAATCAGAAATGGCATTGCTCATATAAAACCACATGGCATTCAAACTAAAGCAAGATAAGAATCTTGCCCTGAAGGTGACATAGAGATACTGGTGAATGGGCACCAATAGGGTGGTGGTAGGGTGCAGTAATTTTGTACATTGATGCCATAAACTAAAACTATTGTAGCAACCTAAAATGTAACAACAAAAATTTTATCAGAGGAAAATAAGATGCTCCTCTTCGCAAGCTTATTTTATAAATTAAGTAATTTTAGCAAACTAGCCCGGCAAGCTACCGAGAGTATCTCGCCCACATGGCAGAGCCTGGCAAGCTCCCCTTGACGTATTCAATATGCCAAACACAGTAACAACAAAGTCCCCAATGGAGATGTTACTGGGCCCGCTCGAGCAAATCGATGAACAACAGGAGGACAGTGACAGTGACAGTTTCATAACAACTTTGCACTGTTTTCCTTATTCTTTCAAATACAGGCAATCCAAAAAGAAGCAAAAACAAATTACTACAAGGATAACCTATGCTGTTTTAAAGATTCCAAAACTGATGCTTCCATCCATGATAAGTCTGTAAAACTAATGGCCTTTCCTCTCTAAGCTAGACATTGACAAGACCCTGTGTTTAATACTCACTTTAAGCTGCAGTGTGGGCTTCCCCCTGACCTTCGTGCAGAAGAGACAGTACTCTGGCTCCTTCAGTCCCAAATAGATTGGATTCCCTCTGTCTTTCTCAAGAGTGTCTGGGTACTTGCATGGGATTAAGGCAATGGTGGCTGGAAACACAATGTGGAAAAGAACAATCAGGTACCATTTCCAAAGCAGTAACAGAGTCAGGAATCTGTTCATGGGCATCATAGATTGTCACCTCACCACACACCACCCAATCTATACATATGTTCCATTCTTGGAGAACTTCTATTAGGAAAACCTTTCAAGGATTCCAATACTGGTCTGCTCATGAAGCCCATGAAGTATTAGAAGTTTCAAAGAAAAAAGTCTTTGCCACTTTCTATTCCCCAACCATTATTGATTCTTCTCTCTTTTCACTGGTCTCTTCTTCACAGTCACAGAAGACTTATGACTGCTTTCTAACCCACTGTTGTATTCTTCTCAATATAGACCCAGTCAGCTTGTCAATGATGAAATAAAAAGCTGAGCACCCATTTTGTTCAAAGAGGCTGCCTTTGACTATTCTAGCTGCTTACCTGGGACCACTTGGGGCTTTCTCGGAACTGCTATAAGGGTATGACCTTGAAGGACCCAAACCTGTTGATTGGTATCCTGAATAGTTCCCAGAATAGGCTCTTTCCAAGATACCCCTATAGAGAAAGCAAAAAAGCAAATGTTAGATAGAATAAGGGGACAAAATAAGACCCCTCTTCATTTTTTTATATTTCCATGTTACCTTCAGACAATTCATCCATTATGGTGATGGTACTTCAGAACGCCCAAAACTGAAAACATTTATGTGAAAGCTTTCGCGGCTTAGAGGACCTGAGTCAGTCTCAGGTTATCAATTTCAGGTTTAATCTGAGTCTGAAGATAGGCTGGTGACAGGTTCCAAAGAGACTCTAATCAGAATTTCTGACTCTCCAGAATTTCTAAGCTCTGCAGAACTCACCCTGCTCCCTCACCTTCATTAAGCACACTCTGCATTCCAGCAGATGCAGCTGTACCTACGAAACTTATTCACTCAAGAATAGAAGCATACCAAGGCCAGAGGCCTAGAAGCAAGAGAAAATCAAAGATCAACAGACTTTGCAGCTACAGAGTGGACCTATAATCTACTTATAGATGTCCATATGTCCATATCATTATGTACCAAGGCTTTCTCAATACATACGTGTCTGAGAAACCATTAAAAGGTCCTTATATCCACTTGAGCCAGGAAGGAAGTTCTGCTCCACTTGGGCTGGAAGTGTCTGACGCCCTGGGTTCTTGACGCAAGAGGATTCAGAAAGATTTTATGTCATTAAAGGTCAGTCACACCACACTTGTGACTTGTCGGTGACCCTGTAAAAGAAGAGCATACTAAAACTTTAAAAGGAGCAAGCAGGAAATTCAACACAGAGTTAGAGGAAAAAGCATTATGAGATAATCCCAGCACTGATGACTGTGACAGATCTGATGTCACAAAAATGACACATGTAAATGTTATTCCAAAGGGTAGAAGCCCTTACTTCCAGGATGACCGAAAAAGGGATGGAAATCCCCACCCCTCACCCCCACCTGTGTAGCTTCTTACTGCTATACCATAGTCACCATATTTTTTATGTATTTTCTTTTTTTAAATTCTTTTTTATTTTCACAGAGTTGTTCACAGTAATTGATTACATCCAATATTTCAACACCAATTCCATCACCATTACACCTTCCCACCACCTTTATTTCGAGTTTTCCCACACCATCCAAGCCTGCCCCAAAGACAGATGCTAAATAATTTATTTTGTATTGCTTGTTATGAATAACTGACTAAAAATCATCCCAAAAAGTTGCCTTAGAGGAAAGTGTGTGAAAATTGTATCTCATCTTGTAGCCATTAGACCCCTGAATTAGAGATCATTAACATGTTGTTAGAGTTTGAGTTTTGTGTGCTAATATCACAGTAGGTCACAGTACTCCCGTTGTTCATCGATTTGCTCGAGGGGCCCAGTAACGTCTCCATCGTGAGACATGTTGTTACTGTGTTTGGCATATTGAATACATCACAGGTAGCTTGCCAGGCTTTGCCGTGCAGGCGAGATACTCTCGGTAGCTTGCCAGGCTCTCAGAGAGGGGCAGAGGAATCGAACTCCGGTCAGCCATGTTGGCTGCATGCAAGGCAAACTCCCTACCTGCTGTGCTATCACTCCAGCCTGTGTGCTTATATATATAAGCATTCTAGTCTCACACTGCTCCAAACACACACACATATATATACACACATATATATGTGTGTGTGTTTGTACATATATATGTATGTATATATATATAAACACAAACATATGTATATATATTACGGCTCTTCCCCTGGCCGCCCAGGTTCTGGGTGGGCTGGGGCTGCTCCCCAGCCAGGTCACCCCGGGCCCTGGGGCAGACGGTGGAGGAAGCGAGAGCCAAGCTGGTTGATTGAACAGATGCCCTTTATTCCATTCTCCCCAGGAACCTGCCCCAATCTCCCTGAGACTCCCATTCTAGTCTCACACTGCTCCTCATCTCCGTCTCCACCTGTCTCTCCCGCTCATCTCTCTGTTTCATCTTGCAGCCTGGGCTCTTTCCCTCTCCACGCGCCTGCTCCTGTATTCTTCTACATTCTTCTCTCTCTGTTCCCCTTGCTAGCCTCTCCGTGGTCCATCTTGCAGCCCTGCCCTCTCCTCTCTCTCCAGCTCTCTTGCCTCTCCCCTCTCTAGTCTCTCCAACTCCCTTATCTCTCCAGGCTGACACTGCACCCAGTCAGGTAGCCAAATCAACATAAGAAAGCCCTTCTTTTTTTTTTTTTTCTTTTTTTTTTTTTCCCTTTATTTTATTTTATTTTTTTTAAAGTTGTAGATTTACAATTTTTTGTGCTTGGGTTTCAATTATACAATGATCAGATACCCATCCCTCCACCAGTGCCCATTTTCCACCACCATGGATAATATCCCTCCCACCCCCATCCCCCCATCCCCCCGTCTCTGTGGCAGGGCAATCCCCTGTGTTCTCTCTCTCCTTTTGGGTGTTGTGGTCTGCAAAAGAGGCATTGAGTGGCAAACATGTTCAGTCCATAGTCTACTTTCGACATGCATCTCCCCTCCTGGGAGGATCCTCCAAACATCCTTTATTTGGTGCTCCCTTCTCTATCTGAATAGCCCTTTCCTCTAGGATACCCGGCTGGCCTCTAAGTTATGGAGTAATCCTCCTGGTGCTGATCTCAGCTATTCTTGGGTATTAATCTCATACTTTGTTACTTTATATCCCCCAGATGAATGCAATCTTTCTATGTCTATCCCTCTCTTTCTGACTCATTTCGCTTAGCATGATACTTTCCATATTGTACCACTTGTATGTAAATTTCATGACTTCATCTTTTCTAAGAGCTACATAGTACTCCATTGTGTAGATGTACCAAAGTTTCTTTAACCAGTCATCTGTTCTTGGGCATTCAGGTTTCTTCCAGTTTCTGGCTATTGTAAAGAGGGCTGCAATGAACAAACAAGTGCAGATGTCACTTCGACTATACATTTTTGCCTCTCTGGGATATATTCCCAGGAGTGGTATTGCTGGGTCAAATGGGAGCTCAATTTCTAATTTTTTGAGAATCGTCCATACTGTTTTCCAGAAGGGCTGAACCAGTGGACATTCCCACCAACAGTGAAGGAGTGTCCCTTTCTCGCCACATCCACGCCAGCATCGGTTGCTTTTGTTCTTTTGAATGTGGGCCAGTCTCTGAGGTGTGAGATGGTATCTCATTGTGGTTTTGATCTGCATCTCCCTGATGATTAATGATGTAGAGCATTTTCTCATGTGCTTTTTTGCCATTCGGATTTCTTCTTTGAGAAAGTTTCTGTTCATTTCATTGCCCCATTTTTGGATGGGGTTGGATGTTTTCTTCTTGTGGAGTTTAACCAGTATTTTGTATATCCTAGATATCAACCCCTTGTCAGATGTGTATTCGGTGAATATCCTTTCCCATTCTGTAGACTGTCTTTGTACTTTGGTCACTGTTTCTTTGGAGGTGCAGAAGCTTCTTAGTTTAAGATAGTCCCATTTATCTATCTCTGTTTTCACTTGCTCGGCCAGTGGCGTGGCATCTTTGAAGATACCATTAGCTTCAATGTCATGGAGGGTTTTGCCAACTTTATCTTCAATGTACCTTATGGTTTCTGGTCTGATGTTGAGGTCTTTAATCCATTTTGATCTTACTTTTGTACATGGTGTTAGGCAGAGTTCTGAGCCTATTTTTTTGCATGTAGCCGTCCAGTGATGCCAACACAATTTATTAAAGAGGCTTTCCTTACTCCACTTCACATTACTTGCACCTTTATCAAAGATTAGATGAGCATATGATTGAGGAGAGATGTCAGTGTATTCAACCCTGTTCCATTGGTCTGCAGTTCTGCCTTTGTTCCAGTACCATGCTGTTTTAATTATTACTGCTTTGTAGTACAGTTTGAAGTTCGGGAGGTTGATTCCTCCCATTTTCTTTTTCCCAAGAATTGCTTTAGCTATTCGTGGGAAGAAAGCCCTTCTTAAGGGCCCACTAAGTTCAAAGGGAACACCACCTTGGATATTCCAAAGCCCTTCCTGACTGCCCAAGGGCAAAATACCCCTTAAGGTGTTTTTATCTTTTCCCTAGTCCAATAACTCTATCAACATCTCAATACTAGTTATTTTTGTATGGACACAGTAAGAGATAACATTGAGGCTTGTAGGGCAGCTCTCTTGGGAACATCTTGCCACAGACTCAGACTACACCACTCAGGCCAGATTAATCATTCCTAACCCTAGCAGGGTCCAAATCTAGTTATTACTTTTTGGATCATGACAGCATTTGTCCATGCCCAAGCTCTTAACTTATAGTTAAGCATTATGGCGCTTTGGCCAGGTCCATCTCGATGCCAGGGTAGCACATAGCTTACCACTTGCCCTGGTTCCATCCAGACCCTTGTCGGGACCCTGCTTTTGGGGCATAGGAAGAAAAGGCAGCTGAGGCTTAGGTGAGAGAACAGATGCCCAGGAGGGAAATATCACTGAGAGTCACATTACAAAAGCATGTCTTCTTGTGTCCATACAAAAAGGACATTGCTCTGAATAAACTATGGAAAGCATTAGGGAGAAGAGAAAAACAATATTTACAAGTCAACAGAGCACATAGAAAGAAGTTACAAATAAACACAGAGGAATGGGAGCACTGTGATGGGAACAACCCCCCCTCCCGTTGATCGTCGATTTGCTCGAGCGGGCCCAGTAACGTCTCCATTGGAGACTTTGTTGTTACTGTGTCTGGCATATCGAATACTCTCGGTAGCTTGCCGGGCTCTCCGAGAGGGGCGGAGGAATCGAACTCGGGTCGGCCATGTTGGCCGCGTGTAAGGCGAACGCCCTACCCGCTGTGCTATCGCTCCGCGATAGCACAGCGGGAACAACCCAATAAACCTAAACTACCTGAGGCTATGCAGGAAGGACAAAACTTTTATCAAGATTGGTTGTCAGCTACCTTACAGCTCACCAAATGTGGTTTGCTACTCTTGGTGTATTAGTGGCATAATTGTATAAAATGTCACGTGGCTATGAAAGCGACTGTGCACTCCTGGAATTCTACAATTTTTTTTCATAGAGTATTAGAACAGGAGTTAGAAAATTTTATTTCTTAATGGATGATGATTTGGGGGTCCAAGGAATCTCTGCAACATGCTGCTCTCTTCCGAGATTCATTTGTGTCTTGATCATGGCCCTAATAAGGTTA